TGAAGGAAAAAACATTATGTCAATAATCTGATCTGTATAATTAATAAAATTTATATTCTATATTAGTTTGATTTTGCTATTTTTTTATTCTAATGTCAAAGTTTATATAAATTTTCTAAACGACATTAGTCTAGCAGAGTTTTAGATAATGATTTATATAATAAATTACATACTTTTTTACCATATGATCGTAAATGTACGATGGAATTATTGTTACGGTGATGATATCTCCACCTTTATCAATCTCTGCCGTAATATCTTTGTCCTTCATCCCAACTACATTCTGTAAAATTTATTGATTTATCTAACAACCAGTTTTTCTATTGAACATTAAATGCAAATACTGTATTTATGTGTGCAAACCTTTCCGTTAATCTCGAGTATTTGATGATCTGTTAAAAGTCCATTTCGTGCAGCTGACGTATCTTTTACTAAAGCAATTATTTTTCCGTTTTTAAATTGAAATCCGACGTAACCCATACTGTCTTTGTGCATTGTTACAGTACGCTCGAACGGTCTGCAATAAAAATAATATTGAGGTTACAAGAAATTATGCGTTAGTAAAGTTGAGATTTTTTTATAAACAAAACAAAATAGCAAATTTTCTGACCTATCACGTACGGCAACTTTGATTCCATTGACATCCGCATTACGGAAGAGTTTATGCACTTGATCCATTGAATATCCAGCAACGCACATATCATTGATGCTTAAAATTTGATCACCGAAACGTAATCCGGCCATTGCTGCTGGAGAATTTTGACTCACGAGACACACAAAGACACCATTATTTATTGCGTGTACGCGAACGCCAACTTTTCCATCAGCATCCTTACAAAGTGTCAACTGCAAAAAAACACAATAAAATATTTTATTAAAAAGCTATATTTTCCTAATTACATATAATTATGGAATTTAAGAATATTTTAAAATACAAAATGGCAGAAATCGATTTAAAAATCAATTATTACCTCTCTAATACCATTTGTTACATAAGCTTTCTGCAAAGCCATAGATTGTCCAGACAAAGGTGCGATCATCCCTGCTAACGGACTGCGTGTTACGTCTGTTGAAGTAAGAGCTACCTGTTAAATCATAAAGTTAAAATTTTTGTATTATCACAATTACAAATCTTTTAAAAACAGACTTTATATATAGACTTTATATAAAGTTACAAAAATGAATTTAATGTTTTAATGATTATGATATAATCTTGTTCATGTAATTAAAAAGGCTGGATTATTTGATATAATATTGACATACATTATTCGCATGACGTGTGGCGAGTGCATATTCAGGCATATTTTGCGCAATGGTCTCTTCATTTAGCTCGAGACCCATGTAATCTCCTAAAGATGGGTACAACATACTCGATGCGGAAGGAACATAAATCGGAGCCGAGGGAGCCGTGGATTCAATCGGTATTGGAGCGACATATTGTGATTCAGCTTGTATTTGAGCCTGTAATATTATTTCAATCGATATAAATCATTATTCATATAGAGTATTTATTTGTAAAAATAATAGTACAAAAGATATTTTGTAAATTATAATCTAAAACTTTTTTGCAATACAATATATAGATCATGAATCCTCCATGCAGTTTACCTTTATCATATGATCTATTTTCATATCTTCCAGCGTAGGATAAAGAGACATTTTGATTTTTTTTTTAATGCTCTGCAATAAAATATAGACACATATTAGTTCTTTTTTTATTCTAAGATTTTTATTTTTATTTGTTCTTGGTAAGGAGGGTAATATTATGTCAAAATTTTCTTTTATAGAATAAAAAATCAATATACATACAATATTAATTTTTATTCTATATTAATTACATGACATAAGTAGTCACACAAGATCGATATGAAAGTTAAGTCAAAGTGGTTTTTCCGTTCATTGCAATCGGAATGTTTAATATATGTATTTTCGCAAACTAAATTAACATTCTTATTACACTATCAACCTCAAGAATACTTTGATAGACAAGAATACTTTGATAGAACGGACGAATTTTTATCGAGCTCACAATGACTAGAGAGTTAAAGATTAAAGGAATTAAAAAAAAAGATGAAAAGAACATTTTTAACTAGCACATTTAGTATATATTCAGTTTAGATGTTTTTATATCGTTTTTTATAATTTGCTATTTAATCTAATCTAATCTAATCTAAAATAAGCAAGTTAGTTCAACAAATTACGGAAGCATATGTCATATAATTCAGCAAATAAAGAAGCAATTTTATGTAATTTAAAAACACGTACGCATGCAATAATGCAAATATCATTTTAGACTTCTGTATAAATTATGAAAATGCAAGAGAAATTTGTTTGTACTACAAATACCTCCGTGGTTATTCACAGCTATGTATTTTACCATTCCTATGTATGAGTCATATACTTTCTTTCATTTTATCTAACATATTTGACACTCATACTCTCCTTACTTAATATAATATATAATATATAATAAAATCAAGTTAATATTTTTATTAAGAAAAAATACATCTTTCTGAGTAACTTGCTTTTTTAACTTTCCTTTTTTTTCTGCATTCTCCGTGATATCTGAAGTGTTAAGATATCTAAACTAATATACAGGATGGAAATGATATAACTGGATGTAATTTCTTGTACAAAATTAAATCGAAAGTACAGAACAAATTTTTTTCATCCGAAGCTTTATTTCCGGGAAAGTCAAGTGTAAAAATCACGTTGAATATTCGTGTATTTAAAGAACATACGATTTGTAGAAAGATATCCTGGAATTTTTCTCATAATTTTTATACGAATTGGAACATTTTTCAAAAATATTCAAAAATATTCGAAGAGTTTACATCTCTTAGAATTTTTCATACAAATGAATTCTAAAATATTCTAAAATTTCCCATTCCATAATTTTTAAAAAATATTTTTTAATTTTTTAGATTTTATAACAGATATTTCATCAGAATTATATTATAAAAAATCTTAGAAATCTTACAATATTTTATAATTAACATATACGAAAAATTCTGAGAAAAGATGTAATTTTTTAGGAAATGTTTCAATTCGTATAAAAAATGTGAAAAAATTATAAAATTATATAGAAATTTTGAAAAATTATATGAAAAATTCTGAAACAAATTTTTATCAAGATAATGCAAATGTTATCTATTTACATAACATTCATATTCCTTCACAAATGACAGGATTAAAGAAAATGAAATAAATAATTAAAGTTTATTTTAAGAAGAAAGAAATATTATTCTTATTGTTGTAAAATTATGATTCAGACATAAATAAAAAACAGTGAAGAAATCATTCCTCATTGTTCTATAATTTTTTCTGGATAATATTGATTGATAAAAAATTTAAAAAATCAAGATAACAAGAAAACAAGAAGAAAGGAGAATAAGATTTAAATGCTATATAACATATAATTGAAAAGAAATACAATTTTAATAAATATACATATTAAATATAAATATAAATATATATTAAATTAATTAAATATAA